TTTGTAGTTGTTTTCTGTTTGAGTGAGTCTATAAATTTTTCCACATTGATCAAGCTCAGCTGGATTGCACTGCACTTAACACCTTGGACTATGCAAGGCATGATGAGATCGTCCACCCTGTTTTTGGCAAGCACTGCATTTTGGTTGCCCATTTTGTGGTACTGTTTATTCCCTTTACTGGTCTTTTTTCCGTCCGCCACTCAGTGAATTTTCCTTTTCCTTACCTGAAGCTGCTACCTCTTATCTATTACTTCCATAAGTCACATCTGCTTCTCCCTAACTACTATGTCACCTGAAACTTTGAGATCTTCTGTACAAATCTTCCCATCCCCCTTCACTGATTTGCCATTTCTGAACATCATTTTAGATCATCTTTTCCTATCCAGCATGAAATGGGTTCTGCTGGCAGAAAGACACAGCAGCTTTACTGAATGTGCTCAGGTTGCCTGAGATTGCTTGATAACAAAGAAATTGCAATTTCTGATAGGTAATGCTTTCAGATGTTAAGCCTGGGACAGCCATGGGGCAGAAAAGTCCTTCCTAAAGGCACATTCCCTTCTGTTTATGAAGCACCATCCTTCTGAGTTACCAATGAACCTGGTTTGCTTTTAGCACAATCTCAGTGCAATTTGGTGCTGTATTCCTTACACATTAAAAAAAAAAAAAAAAATTTATTTGTTTTCATTTGGAAGATAAAAATTCAGTGCCATGCACAGAAAAATCCTTTATGTTGTAGAGTTATAGACAGGAAAAGACAATGAAGTACTTCTTATTATATTCAGTGTTTATTTTCACATTGAAAACTATTGCTGTTTCTTCCTGATAGTTTTGCTAGCAATTACAAGGTAAAAATGTTTTATTACGCAAATTACATACTTCTAGCACAGTGTTTTAAAATGAAAATTACCTATATAAAAGAGACTTTCAGTCAGTCGATATAGGCAGCTGGAAATTGGTTTGAATGCATGCAGCTAATGGTCACAGCAATTTGCGTGGGAGCAGGTTTAATGTAAGTCTAGGCACTGTTTACTTTAGTTATGCTTTCATAACTGTTGGACAAGAGGACTGAAAAAAAGCTATAGTAAGTTATGAATAAAATCAAAAGCTAAATACTTAAGGCACGGATTTTTTTAGAATTCTAGAGTCAGTTATCTAACAAACGTGTTTTAATGAGATGTGGCACTTTAATGCCCTTTAAAAACAAAAAACCCACCCTAAGTTGGTCTTTTTTCAGTTGTCAAGTAATAACAATTATCAGTAATAGATTAATAGTCCTATTGACATCAATGGGAGGACAGAGTGTGAGGAAATATTAAGACTGTAGACAAATAAATGTATTGTATGATTATTCTATTTTTGGGATCTTGCATTGCAATAAGTAGGTTAAGCTTTTCAATGCTGATAGCTAATACAACCTCCATCATAAAGCTTTCTTCATCTGAACTCATCAGACAATAAAATTTACTCTCCCTCTTTAGCAAGGAGAGGAAGCCACTTGCTATAAAATGTCTGAGGTGAACTTGTTTCTTTTTACTCAAAGTGTACCTCTTGCACAGAGGGTTGAGAAGGTGCAGAATATTATAGTCCTGATGTGTTTAATTGTTTCTTTATGCCCTGGAATTCAAAGAGATTTTAGGATGTGTTTGGCAGTGGCTTTCCCTCTATAATCAGGTTGCTATGGTAAACCTATTATTCTAGACAAAGAAAGAGTATGTTTAGTAAAGTGCTGATCCCTTTTCAGTATAATGTGAGCTTCAAATTACTTTTGAATGATTGAATTTGTATGGTAAGTATTTTATCACAATAACTAAGAGAAGAAGGTCACAGAATAAGGTGTGCCTTCTGTTATTTCAGTAGCAGCTACATCTGACAAAATAGCAGTATGGCTGAAGCAAGCTTACCCTGCAAATATCCTGCTTTTCCCAGGGAAGCAATATGAAATTGTTACAAAGTGCTCTTAATTTTTGTGTTTATCTATTTGGAAATAAACTGAGCCTTTGAAGTTTACATTTGCTACATCCTATGTAGTTAGCTGTTCAGAACAGTAGGACTTCAGTTCTCTGCTAAATTACCTCCAGAGAGTGACCCCACCTTACATAATCTAACAAAAATCTCCATGCTTTTGGAGGTAAAATACACTTTTTAAGCCAATACAAAGTTGCAATTATTTAGCGCTATCACTAAACACACTTCTCATGTTCCTAGGGCTGATTTTGTCAAATTAGTAAAAAAAAAAAGGAATGATTAAACTAAGAATTTGAGTATCAGTTTCAGCAGCAGCGTACTAAACTACTATATCTGTATCTTTGAATATTTAAAAGTAAAGAAATAGCTCAGAGAAATCCTCTTCCAGAGCACTTACTGACTGAGGTTTCTGTCCATTTTCAAAGACACTTTCTGTTCTGTTGAGGTCCACAGTCAGATGATCTAAATCATACATTGAACTTAGGTGGGAGCCAGCCAAAATAAAATACAAGGCACAGATATCAACAAGGAATTTTGGGTTTTTTTAATATATGTGTTGGTATTTTATTCATTAGCTAAGAAGAGATTGAGAAGTAGGGCCGAAATCCCCTTTGTGCTTGATTTTGAGGTGACAACCTGAGCTTGTATCTCTTACATGACAAAAATGTGCCCTGTCTGCCTAGGGATGGGATACTCCTCATTTTTTTGCTGGTAAAACAGTTGCGCATGAAACTAAAATGAATAAATATTAATTGCAGCAGGGACTGAGAGGAACTTGTTCCCATTCCAGTGCAAGTGCCCAGCGACTGAGTGGCTCTTAGGTCATTCTGACTTATTAAATTAAGCATTACAGAAGGTAATGCTTAATTACAGAACATGCAGGACACTCATTACAGAACCTTCCTTTGCTCGTCCCTCTGGAGGCTTTTCCATCTCTGCTGACTCCTGTCTTCAAAGCAACTTGCTTAAACTGATTTTATTGTCCTTCAGGCATCCTCCTTATTATAGCATTAGCTGGCCAGGATACCACTGTTGAAGATCGTTCTTTTGTTTATTTTATAGAGCCTTCACAACAGATGGGTCCTGGTCATCAGGTACCTGTCTGCCTACGGGTGACTGACTGTGCTTTGGGACACTGCGATGTGACATTTTTGTAAAAGTAGCCATGTTGTCTAAGGTGGATGCATAGAAAGAGACTGTGAGAGCCCCAAATAGTGACGAGTTGGACTCATTAAAAATCTCTGTACATTTAAATACTAAGGAATTATTTTTTTCCAGTTTCTAATGTAGCTGTCCTTGGCAAATAATTATAGCTTAGAAAATGCAGGCAAATAACATCAATTGTTCTGTAGGTAATCACATTTTAAATGTTGACATGATTGCCAAATACAGCTCTATTTCGTGGTGTGGTAGATGCACTTCCTGTAATAGGTTTCTTTCTGGAGCGAATATCCTCATATAATTGACAATGCAACAGTTTTAAAACTATGTATATTATAAAGGTATCATGAAGTATTTGCTGTTAATTGTCTCTATCAGCATGTCTTTTTTTAAGATTCTTGCACTTTAAGTTGATCACAAAATGTTCTTCTAGATTGAATCCTGGCACACAAAATGTCAGCTCGAAAGTGCAATGTACATTGATGCTTGGGAAGATGAAGAGTACAGCGGCTATAAAATGAGCTGGGAATTTTTTCCATAAGTAATAAGATCCCCCCACACTCCAAGTTAACTAGACTGTTTTTTTAAAAAACAAATTTAACAAATTTAGGTTAGAAGTTTTAAAAAAAAAAAAAAATTAAGAATGATCTGGGAGTACGTTGACTTCAAAAGTTTTATTGTCACAAAACCTGCAGTTAGAAGAGCCCCACTAAGGTTATCCTTTCCCATTCAGCAAAATACTTTGGCAAATGCTGAAAAAATATTGCACATGCTGAACTGTTTGGTTACATAATGAAAGGCTGCACTTGCATGGTTTTTTCGCTTTGTAGCTATAGTCGCTCCTACTGTAAATTTGGGTTCTGCAGTCAGTAGGGCAGTGTCCAGGCCGAGGCTGAGTCTCACTGATGATGTGATTGAATTAGATTGAGAGGAACAGGCTTTTCTGCATCCTAATCCATGTCTCTGGTAGCCCTTTTTTATACACAATATTCTTTCCCAAGCCAATCAGCGTATTACTTCGATCCACGGTTTGTGTCACATTTAGAGAATTCTCACAGTAGCATTGCATGAAAACAATTTAAAAAAATACAGAGGCAAACCCTTAGAAGTTAGGAATTAACAAAACCGATTGTACCCGGAACTGAGTTTGTCTCATATATGTGCAAAGTAAGACTGTCCCTGATCTTATTTTTTTTCACATCTGACCATTTAATACTCACTGCTCTGAGGGCTTTGGAGTAGAAGATCTGTGGGAGTTTGGGTGACTCTATTCCCCCCACTCCCTTCAAGCTCTAGGGAGTTCTCCTGTGAACAGGTTGATGGAAGGAAAGACTCTGACAGAGGTTGTGCTTTCGACTTCTATTTCCTCGGGTCTAGGCAAGAAAATTTATAGGGATTTTTGCTTTCCAAATGCCTGACAGAGTATCTGAAGAGTTATGTTTCTACATGAATAGAAAATATCTTAGATAGATAGGCCCATGCGTAGACTATTTAATTCTAATCACATTAATTTTGGAGTTCCTGAGGTATGTGCTAAACATTTCAGATCAATTATAGAGGTTAATTATGCAGTTAAGCATGTGCCATAGCTCTGTTATGTAAAGTTGAGATATGAAAAACATACAATGCCAATGATTGCTTATTGTTGCTGTTTCCACCAAGATATAACAGTGATATCGTTTGCTTCTGGTTGCCATGGAGGAGGGATAGTTTTGGTGGTTTTTTTTTTAATAGTGTTTATGTGCATACTTTAATTAATACAGCGTGACTTGTAGTGTGTCTTTGGTGGGTAGGGTGTAGAATAAGTTTGGGGTTATATTTCATGTATTTTACTTTACTGAAATCATGACTCTAACAATTGTTTATTCTTACAGGGAGATGTGAATGTGGCCAATGCACTTGTTTCCCTCCAGGGGACAACAGAGTTCATGGCAAAAACTGTGAATGCGACGATCGACAGTGTGAAAATGCGGACGGTGATGTCTGTGGGGGTATGCGTTCACTTAATATAGTATAATATAATTAATATAAGTCTTGAGAGTTTATAACTTTCTGTTCCTCCTGATTTTATAACATATTGTCACTATAGACATCACTGATTGATTATAATAGATTATAGATTTTTGTAAGAAACAAGCTCTATAAATATTGAGTGTTAGTGAATATTTATTTTAAAACTTCAGAAACACTAACAATGAAGTGGATTAAATACACCTAATAGCATAAATGTAATTGCTGTAGTAAATCCCAAATTCCATCAGTGTTCAATAGAGAAGAATACAAACACTTAAAGGAAAACCTGAAAAACCAGGTAATTTTACTTTTTGTTTTCTACAGTTGATGTTTTACTGAGAATGTTGTATTTTAGCTAAAGGTAATAATGATCAGCAATACTTTTGAATATTTCATATTCACTGACAGTGATATGTTTGTTTTCTAAAAAAGTAGTGAAAATATATTATGAAAGAATATAAAAATGTTTGAGATACATTGTCATAGTAATTGTACATGCAGATTGTTTATTTTAATGTTGACAGTGAAAACCTCACTTTTTGATTTTTCAGTAATATATGTTGGTGTTAAGCAGTATTTCAAGTTAGTTTTCGATATGTAAATGTACACATACCATATGGTATTTTAAAAACAGGTGAGTAGTATTTGTCCTAAATACTCCCTTTCTAGTTTTTAGTGGCTTTTATTTTTAAAATGACTCTTTGCTTCTTAATATTAACAAAGTACTTGGTATGAACAATGACATATTTTGTTATATTCCTTATTTCTATGTAAGAAAAAAACATATTGCTTCATAGTCCTTATGTACGTAAAAGATTCTGCCTACAGGGAATATTTCTTCAAGGTGTCTGCCATGCAGAATGTAGGCATGTATGGAAAATTCTAGTTTGACTGTCTAAACAGCCGTAATAATAGTTTATAACATTCAGAGTAATTCAATAATATGAATGTGTAGAAAAAGAAAAATTTGAAATTTAATTTTCTATAAAGAACATAAAAGCAGATAAAAGCACTGAAAAGCTGGGCCATATTTGTTATAAATTAAGTAGTTAGGAACCAAAATTCATCATCTTCCATGGTTAAAAATATCTCTTCTGTTTATTCATATTTTACAGTATTTGATGACAATGCTTCAATGTTAATACTGCTAATTATATTGCACATTTTGGAAATTATAGACAAAAAATCCATTCTTCCTTATTAGGAAGGATACAGTGATAGTTTTAATTTTTGTTGATGGCTAGAGCACCTCACACTTAAATGAACAATCACCTCAACACCTGAACCGGTGTCCAATTTTTTACTGTGCAAGAGACACTCTAGGTCACCCTGTTACCTGAATAAACTCCCCTCTTTAGTCTAAGTAGCTTTGTCCAAAGAGAATGTCAGAATTTAATTAATTAATTTAAACCCCATATGCTTTAAGCTTATTTCCCTAATTTTGAAACAACAAATAGAAAGGAAAGTCGGCTCATGAACTTACAAATCAGTTGTAGTCTCAAGCTCAATTTTTCCACCTTCATTCAAGCTGATAGTTTAGTTACTAATGATTCTCTGCAGGTGAAAAGAATTATATGGGAAAACGCAATTCAAGTGATTGTGCCCTGTTTGAAATTGCACTGCACAGCATCTGTTGACAGGACTTCAGAAGGCCCACTCTGTGATTTTTGCTGTTCCAGGGAGCTGAGCTTATTCCTAATACTTTTCCCAAAATTGTAGAATAAGCGCCAAATCAAGAATCCTGTTGTCCTGGGCTTTTTTGTAATTAAAAAGAAAGGAGGAAGCATGGCATAAGGGAGATGATTAAATCCACCAAGATGTGAGTTGACCTCTTAAGTGCCTCAAGGGAGACTAGAGCATCTTTGCTCATTCACAGCTGTCTGAACTTGGCGAGGTGATGCTGGTCTCTAGAGTTTTAGTCTTCCCAATTAGAAGTCATGCCACTACTAATAGTGTCCTTTAAAAATTGTTGGATTTCTGTAGTAGATCTGTTGGGATTCCAGTGGTACATAATTGGCAAGTTATTTTTTTCATATTCTTGATATTTTATTTCTTGTTCTATTATATTTCTAACTATAATTTGAGATATTTTTAGGTTATTCTAGATTTGGTTGTAATTTACGCCTTGAAGCATGTTCCTATGTTATTATTATTGCACAATTCCATCCACTTTTATTCTTTTACAGCTGAGAGAGAACTGGTTTCCCCTTCCTCTGTTTCTGTTCTCATGCCACAGAAGTGTTTCTTTGTGCTTGTTTGGTTCTTCCATGTGAAGTGAGCTGAGATTCAAAGTAACAAACATAAATGTCTTACTAATCAGGCAGTTTTCTTCCACACACCACTCTTCCTTCTCTTGGTTGCTGGAGCTCTGAAGTGGCTCCTTCCTTCATTTCCCCTCTTTCTCCTTCTATTTCCTTCCATTTTTTTTTTCCTTCTTTTTTTACTGCTGGCAGATCCTGAAACCTTATTTTCTTTGACCATCCAGTGTCCGTCTGTGCTTCTGATCCACCTGCCTCATGAGGCCACCACCCACCCCAATAACTTAAGGCAGCACCTATTTAGGTGTAAGTACTAAGTACAGGAATGTTTATCTTCAGAGACTCCCCATCAATTGCACCTTTCTGTTCACTCACCATTTGGCAAGTGAATTCTCCTCACTTTCCTCACCTTCAAACTCATAATATAAGCTATTTACTCCTTATGCATCTTCTGTGACTTCATCTTTCACTGTGGCTTCCACCAACATTTTCATTGAAATGGCTCTTCCCACAGTTTCTGACCAAATGTACAAATTTCTGTCATTGTTATCCCTTTCAAATCCTCAATAGCCTCTGATATTACTGATAGCTTCAGCCATAGTCTTTAGTAATTGTCAGATGTTTTGCTTGGCTGATGTCTATCCTGATAACATTTTGAATGTTTCCTTTGATATACAATATTTCACATATCTCCCCTTTTAGGAGATTCTACCAATTTTAACTGTATTTTCTTTCCTCTTTTGCAACTTATCTATTCACAGAACTTCTCTCATTAATTTTGCACTAATAGCACACACACCTTTCTCTCTTCCTTTTGGGCCTGTCCATGCTTCCATCTCAGCCTGAACCTCTTGACGCCTCTTGCTGAACTGCTTCTTCCTTCCTCTTTCCTTCTTCTCTTTTCATTACTATTTTTCTACCACTGTTGCTACCTAGGCAATCGTTGTCAGGACATAAGCCCTTGCTAGTAACTCTGGCTTCAGAGAACTGTGAGCTGGACCCTGTGAATGTGCAGGGTCTGACAGCGAGCACTGTGTGCCTGTAAGCACAAGGAGGAAAGACCAACGTTTTCAGATTACATGCATGCTGCAATGAGAAATGTGAATGACAACCTAAATGATTTGAATAAGAATTGTTGCTGGCCTCCTCTGACCAGCAGAGATTGATTAATAGCTTGCTTTCCAGACCAGCTGTCCATGCGACGGTAGAAAGACATGAGGCAAAAGACATGATAAATTAGGGTACAACTGAGTGAAACCCTATTACCATGCTTCTGCATGATTATAGTGAGTCATTCACTTAAAAATTCATCTGTCCATCATTGCAGTACCAGGAATAGAGACATAATGTCTCCACAAAGACAGAGGTTGCAGGAGGACTCGGCATAGATTCCACAGCACTCTGCTATTAGAAATGGATTCATAAAATCATAGAAGAGTTTGGGTTGGAAGAGACCTGCAAAGATCATCTAGTCCAACCTCCCTGCCACAGGCAGGGACACCTTCCACTAGACCAGCTTGCTCAAAGTCTCATCCAACCTGGCCTTGAACACTTCCAGGGATGGGGCATCCACAGCTTCTCTGGGCAACCTTCTCCAGCGTCGCACCATCCTCCTCGTAAACAATGTCTTCCTTATATCCAACCTAAATCTACCCTCTTTCAGTTTAAAAGCATTGCCCTTTGTTCTGTCACTACATGCCTTGGTAAAAAGTCTCTCTCTGCCTTTCTTATAAGCCCCCTTTATAATATTGAAAGGCTGCAATAACGTCTCCCCACAACTTCTCTTCTCCAGGCTGAATAAACTCAACTCTCTCAGCCTTTCTTCACAGGAGAGGTGCTCCAGCCCTCTGACCATTTTTGTGACTCTCTTCTGAACCTGCTCGAACAGGTCCATGTCTGCCTTGTTCTGGGGACCCCAGAACTGGATGCAGTACTCCAGGTGGGGTCTCATGAGAGCAGAGTAGACCTCCCTCGACCTGCTGGCCAGATCCTCCCTTTGTGTTCCCTTCCTTTGCCTGTGCCTCTGCACAGAGACTTAATACGCTATGGCTGGAGGAGGTGTCTCATGCAGCCTTTTTGAGATAGATATATTCTACCTAAAGGCCCATTCCCTACAGTTCAGGTTTTTTCAATGATGTAAGATTTGCCCAGGTGTATTGCAGTGTTGATCCACAGCAATATTTAACATCATGTTTTATTTGCTTTACTTAGTTATTTGAGTCGTTCATGTGCAAGTTAAGTGCGTTTGGTGCACACACATGACTGGAGAATCACAGGTTTGCCAGCACGAATTTTTTCATGGCATGGCTATGTCACTGATGTACACCAGGCTTGATACTTATTTATCCTGTATCCTGGTGAGAGACACTTCTCTCTGTCCTCTGAGGTTATGGCTGTGCTGCTAGCTGCAGATGTGTCCTGAGCTTTCACGTGTTATTTGTTCCCCTACTGTGTCCAGTAATGTTTCTCAGTGATGTCATCGTTGGCTGCTCGACCTCACTGGGTTGACTGTTGGCCATTATATTGTTGCCTGCCTGCCCTCAATCCTGAAAGAGAACAAGAATTCAGAAAAACACTAAAGATCAATTTGAAATTGATTTGATAATGCTCTTAACTCCATTCATTTTGATTTGTTCTCTGGACCGTTATTGGCCTGGCTGTGGGTCCTTGTTACAGCAAAGTAGCAACCATTGAAGGGATAAAACAGAAGCCCTTTTGGG